GGTTAGCCTGGCTATGGCTTCCTCTTGAGCTTTGTTGCAGATCTTTCGAAGAGATACTCTTGGTGTTGCAGAAGAGTAACTTCTGAGTAATTTCCGAGTTTTCACATATTCTGGCGGGTTGTATTTTTCAGCAACTTGCTTATGTGTCGCGTGCCGCTGATCTCAGTCGACGCTGTGATTAGCCTTCGCTCTTTCCAATCCAATCCAAAAAGTCATTTGTACTGCAATTTTACACCCCCCCCCTCAAAAAAAAAATCTGGAATTTTTTGATTTTTTTTTTGGCACTGGGGCTGTGGCCAGAACCCTGCCCGGGTTGTTGGGTCTCCAGGCGCCCGTACAAACAGCCTAGCTTTCGAAAACTTTTTCACTAGGTTACCAGCCGGGACCCTTTTTAGTTCCAGGTTGTCCGATCAGACAACTCCCCCTGTCGTCCGAGCGGGCCCCGGTGTCCGGGCTGGTCAAAAAATCGGGGTAGGGGTGTTGAGGGTTTTGGGGCCTGCGGGAGTGGGGTTTGGGGTACGTAGTACCCCTGGGAAGGATGGGCGTTTTTTGCGAGATCGGTAGGGCCTCCAAAAACGAAAATGAAACGTCAGATCTAAGAGATCTACGGCCTAGATCGGGGAAAATTTGAATTAGAGTTTCGGGCCTGATTGATAGGGAAAAAAAAAAAAGGGAAGGTGGATGCACCTAAGTCCTCCTCCTCCTCTTTGTCATCCCCATCCTCTTCCTCCGCCTCCTCATCCCGATCATCGTCGTCCACGTAATCCCCCTCCGTTGTGGCCGCGGCCCAACTCCCCACATCCCCTTCTGGCCATCGTCCTCCAGGTCGTTGCCTCCACTCCCCTCCACTGCTTTTTTTTCTTTTTCAATTAATCAATCAACCAATTAACCAACCAATGTATCCATTCAAAAATCAACCAGTTAATCAACCAATGCATCCATTCAAAATCTGATTCAATCGATAGATTGGACTGGATCTTGAAAATCAAGATCCAATCCAATCTATAGATTGGATCGGATATTAAATGGATTGATTGATTGATTGATTGAAAAAGAAAAAGAAAAAAGAAGAGGGCAGGCGGATGCAGCTAGGTCTGCCTCCTTGTCATCCTCCTCCCAATCCCTCTCCTCCTCCTCATCATCATCCCTATCAATGCTATCGTCGTCGTCCATGTAATCCCCTTCTGTCATCGCCGCGTCGCCATCCCTACCCGCTCAACTCCCCACATCCCCTTGCAGCGTACCGATTTGTCTCCATCACCGTGGCCCCCTCCTTCTGCTCCCTTTCCTCCTCCTCCTCCTCCTCCTCCTCCTCCTTCTCATCCTCATCTTCGTCTTCTTCTTCCTCATAAGTGTGTATCTGTGCGTGTGTGAGCACGTGTACGGATACTAGATAGTGTGTGTGTGTGCGTGTGTGTGTGTGTGTGTGTGTGTGTGTGTGTGTGTGTGTGTGTGTGTGTG